TCAACGGCTACACTACCGTACCATAGTTGGTGTTGTGAGAGACTTGTTAGACTCTGTGTGTTTCTTGGTCATTATCCAAGCTCTGCATCAAAACTCAGAACACACCTTTGGATTTCGTAACAGGTGTCGATTGCTGATGCGTAGGACTGCGTGCGTCAGAGTATGTGTATCGAATCTCATATTTCTCCTGCTCGCTTCGCCTCCTCTTTCACGTACCAATTTCACGGACACGTCGATTTCGTTCAAAAGCTGTATTTCTTCACCATGGTGATCTGAGCTCCTCTCTGTAGCTGCCCACCAAAGTTGGGAATTCAATTATGAACACGAGTGGTTGGTCTTCGGTCATCTCAGGCCACCTGTAGCCCCTTCTTTATGGGCACAGCACTTTTAGTCATATAGACTGGTCAATACACTCACCAACTCGCAGCTCCTGTGGCATATTTTAACCATCTTCTGTGAACTGGTTTCCCTATTATTTTATAGAGTTACTAACTTTGCTGACATAATTTAGATTTTCAAGCTCTAGCATGATTTGGTATCACTTCTATGGGGTCGCAACAATTTTCTAACTATTGTTAATGCTGTATCACGGGCGAATGAATGTTTTCCAGCCTGTTAACATCCAATTGTAACTTTAAAAGGGGTAAGATCTTGCAGAAAAATTGCATATATTTTTACAAGATATAACTTCAGCTGATATGTATCGGAAAGCAAATGCAAATGTCGATGGGAGTGGTACCCTGTTTTGGCAGGATTTAAAATCTTCTGTGGGAAACCTTTACCAGATTCGGTATGGTTTGATTTAAAGTTCCAAGGCCTCATGTTAGTGGTCATTTAACCAAACAAACGATGCGTATGTTTGAAGGCACACAAAGAGCTATCTTTATGTATTTTCATTATGTTACCCTTGCCCGAACGGGGTTATTTCAATTCAATTTTCCCAGAATTTAGTTCTGCTTCACATTTTTTTGCTAATTAAATACACTTAGCTGCAACTTATCCTCCATTTTGCTACCATAGGCGTTCGCTGCAACTTAGTGAGACACTAACAGCTCAGAGTTCATATCAATGATTCCTTGTGGTTTGCTATGCGCGGAGTTGCTACTTTTGTTCTCCAACTGAATTTGGCATTTTTTACACAAAAAACAGTGCGGCCTTGTTTGCACCATGCGTCCTGGAATTTAAAATGCGTGTCACGCGAAAAGTTTGTGACGAGGTTATGCATGCAATAACACGAGGTAACCGCAGTAGTCCTATTAGTCGTATTGATGGTGATAAGAAATTAATTAGTATAGTACCATGCCCTTTCCCTCTCGCTGCCACCCAAAGTGGAAAGGCCTAATTAATAACACGTTCTACGTTTAGGATCGGTAAGGCGGTTTTAATTCGACCTTATGGCATTCTCTAGGAGGCAAAAGTCCCATTGAAATCCTTCTGCATGGCGTAAGGGCATGTCTTTAGGGGTCAACAGGTCAGTGGCTGGGTAATAACCAAAAAAGGACCGACCTGCTAACCACGATATTCAGTGCATCCTGTATCAATGGTAATATCGTGGGTACAATTTTTGGTATTCTTCAGGCAACTTGTTCATTTTTATTTCTAGAGGCATTAAATTTTGGAGAACACTGAAAGCTAGAAGGGGAGGGTTAAGTGTTTACAAAAGGGAGCAAATCCTGGCAAATATGCAAATTAAGTGTTTCAAAGCATCTGGTAAACGACCTAATCCTCGTTTACCCCAATACAAAAGGAGGCGGTGAAGCCTGCTGGGTGTGCAAGGTTTAGTTGTTGTTGTTGTTGTTGCTGTTGACGTCTCTCAACCCAAAAATTCCTCGTCATTTTCACCGATGCACAAGTGACGGCGCATTATTGAAAGTGCCGCGTTATCCGAGACACACCACCATCGCCTACGATCCACATTGTTCGATGTGTATCCACCACTATCAGACCAATCACCATCAGGGAGAGATGATTTAAAAAACCCACTCGTATCATTATTCTTTTTGTGCATAGTCCGGTCACCTTCATGAATGTAAGGCGAAGAGGGATAAGAAGGAAACTGCAACTCTGAGAAGAAAAAGATGTTTTATGAGTCATGTCAGAATGGAGAAGGTGGTGATAAAAAGGGCCAAAAAGCGTGGGATATGTAGGACATATAAAAAAGCGATCGACTTCCATGCATTCATCATCAGGTATGAATGGTGCTACATTGCAGGTAGATGAGAATAACCCCTCGGTCTTGTGTCTTAATGTCCCCCTACTTAGTGGTGGAATGGTTAGAAGAGAAAGAATTGGAGAATGTCTTGCAAATCGGATGATGAATCATGTGTCTCCATGTACGTGCGCATTACAGATGCATTTATCACTTTCACCTTAAGAGTAAAATGAGTTCTTGCACCCTAGAAAATGGTCACAGTACGGCAAATGCGGCCTTGTATGCCGGTGTGTTCCTAGAGCTGATACAACTTTTGAGGAACTGTCTTTCGGAGCAGCTGATGAGAAATGTGGTTTACTTTTCCTTACGTTATCAATCGTTACTAGGCTGGTTATCTTGCTATGAGGATGCTGTCAAGACCATGCCCACCATACTAACGTGAGACCGAAAAGGGAGGGGGGAATTCTATTTCGCTTTTGTCCCACCTCTTCTATAGCTCCAGTTGGATGTGATTAATTAAATCACAATATGAAATGCGAGTTAAAGAAAATTATAGATGCTTAGATTTTTGGTGAGTTGGCCTTACTACTTTTGTGCGTGCAGCACCGTCACGTGTTCATACCTATTTGACAGTCGTTTTGTCTCATCTACATCTCCTCCGCCTATTTGAGATTCGGATGAGCTTTGGTCTCATATCCATTTGTTAATATCCAGGAGAGAAAAGAATTTTCTTTTCCCACACTGATAAGTGCCTAAGTGATCGGAACGAGGTTCAGTCATAATAGGGATCAGTGCTCGAATAAGTACAGTTTTGTATTGCTTTACGCAAGGATGACACTGGAAAGGACAGGGATGTCAACGTCATTAAGTGCAGCACTTTGATGCTGATGTAGGAAATGGATGCTGCTTTCCACATCTACGAAACTCCATGATAGTTTGAACTTAGAGTAACTTCACATAATCTAGACCAAATCATCGGGAAGTAAGGATAAATGTAAGAGCCGAAAGGGAGGTGAGTGAGAAGAGAGGAGGAAGCTGTGGCTTCAGTATGTGTGAATCATGTTTGTCAAAGATGCTGTCATCATTGCCGCGACCTTTACTTCCGTGACTTCTTCGATTGTCGACCAGTACACCCACAGACGATTCAACGCATCCCTCTCCCCTCTCATCACCCCATTCTCCTTCTTCCCCCATCTTCCCTCTCTGCCCCCTGTTCCGACATCCAACTGACGGGTTGGTGTTTTCCCCTTCCACTTGACAGACCGAAACCGGGAAGTGAGTGTGCGCGGGAGGGAGAGTTAGTGAGAAAGGGGAAGGTTGTCAGGCGGAGGCTGAGATAGTACCAGCTAAGCCTCTCGTCACCACCTCTTCCTCTCCTCCCTTCCACCTCCCTTCAGTTAAATTTCAAGGCTGCAAGACGAGGCTACTTAAAAATTAATCACTAAAATAGCAGCGGCCGACTCCACTCTTTTCGTGCTCTCTGTTGAGCGCGCACGCGTATGCATGTTTTTTCAGGGATTAGAAGCGCAGCCAGTATCTCTTTTCTGACAAAATCTACTAAGAACGTGTGAACTTAAACCTCCCATCAGCGTGACATTGCATCCGCTACCCATCTGTTAAATTCAAACAGGCTTTGCTAGGCATTGATAATTGGCAGGTGTAAAAAATTCACACATTCTCTTTGATCTAGTGCGTCTCTTTGCTAATACCAGACGTCTGAGCTAAAATGTTGTACACTTCTTTAATGCGTCAATAAATGATACGCAACAGAAATGCAGTTAGAAGAAAGAAACGCTTTGCTCTGAAAGCGTCCTAGGTGTCTTCTCAATAACAGGGGCGAACATCGCCACATCAACCATGGGCATTATGGGCTGTAGTGATTGTTGCAACTTGTCATCTGGAGGGCTGGATTGACTTTGGTACACACCTAGGGGCTGGAGTGTCTCATCTAAATGATTATTCTTACTAATTTTAAACTGCGGAGTCTGCTTCAAAAAACTGTAAGGTATTCGATTATAGAAATTTCTTCTTTAGCGCTTCGTTTATGCATGTGGGAGTCTCGGAAAATATTTCTGTTTGAGGAAGCTTGAAAGCGCTGCTGACAGCATGGAAACGACCTTTAATTTAGTGGTTTTAGTTATCCCTTTCTGCTTCATTACCGAGAACTTATTTTTCACACCCATTTGTTCTATCAATATACTCAAACTTTTCGATCGACAACTGGTTAATGAGCATGACACTTAAAGATTACTGAATCCTGAAGGAAAGGAAACAAAATGTGAGGTTTGTCGTTCTTGCTCATCCTCATCAATTTTTGTATCCGTTTATGTGCACAACTTCTCCTCACGACTTTCAAACGATGTTAAGTCCAAAACTGTTTTTTACACGGAATTAGCAGTAGTAATAAACCGTTGTTCCTTTATCGTAGTACTTCTTCATATTATCTTGCTTTCATCGCGCCAAAGTATCGTGCCCGTATGCACACATGCATATATCTGCACGGTCGTATGACGAGCTCAGGTCACGGGGCTGCGTGGGTGTGTTTATTCAAGTCTGTTTCACGTTCCCAGGGCAAGTATTCACAACGCTGGCTTGTACGCATGTATGGTGTAAAGGCCTTCATTTCTACCCGACTTTCACTATTGCAAGATCAATAGCAGCGGTGGTAACAGGATTCGTGATTATTTGATCTTCAGCACTGACTACGAGTCCTCTGAATGCTAATCCAAGGCTGAACCGGCAATCACTTTTCCGTTCTTACAAATTCGTCATAACTTTTTTTGATAAACTAAACTCGTTTGTTTTTCTCTCTTGTAGATAATTTGTAATTAAATAAATTAATCCGAACATGGTGAATGTTTCGGCAGTAGCCTTTATATTGTTCACCGTGATCAATGGCTTCCTACTCCCCTTCTCCTTCGGACAATATATCGAACCGCGTCTCTGTGATGGTGTCTGTTACTGCTCTCGTAACGAAGCAGTTGTAGACTGCAGCCCTCAAGATCGTATTATTGGTGTGCCCACAAACCTACCACCAGGGACGCGCAAACTCGTAATTCAGGGCGGCTTCTTTCCAGACCCCGGCCACCTGAGTGCCAAGAATCTCACAGGTCTGGCACACTTGGTCAGTCTTCGGATTGTCAATTCACAACTTCGCTCAGTTCAGTCACGAGCTTTCCTTGGAATGACCAATCTACGAGACCTTGATCTCTCCCTCAACCTCCTTTATCGAATCGAACCACACACTTTCTATGGTCTGAATTTGCAGACGTTATACCTGCAGAAACAGCGGCTGCAACCAGACTCTCATATCCTCTATGGACCCTCGGCTGATCCCAAGCCATTGGTGATTTCGACCGAGGCTTTCTATGGCCTTTCAGCCGCGCGGATAGATCTGCGACGGAACTTCATATCTGACATATCCTACTCCCTCTTTTCCAAAGTTGATGGCCTTGAGGAATTAATACTTTCTAATAACCGAATACGTCAACTTGATGCGAAGTTTGCTGACCACTTCGATAACCCTAATCGTCTACTTGACCTAACCGATAACCCGTTAGAGTGTTCTTGTAAGTTGGCCTGGTTGGTGAATCAGGTAAAATCGTGGGTTACTAGGTCACCCTCCCTCAAAACAGCATGTATTATTGATCCACGAATAAGCGGATCGCTTTCAAAAGTCGAGTTAAAGGATCTCACCACAGATCACCTCTGCATGGGCTCTAGAATCCAGTCCATTGGCGTGGATATAACTCCTGCTGGAAAAGCAGCCACTCTCAGTTGCACTGCAATCACCTTCAATCGCATGGACACTGCGGAACAGCAATCCGGCACTTTTCGCCATGGTGAGGGTGATCCCCAGATGACTCATCCAATAGTCCGACTTCGGCCTCCATCTGTAGCGTGGAAGTATGTAGAGTCGGGTCAACTGCGTCAGGTCACTGGTATGCCCTCGGATCTGCCACAATCCTTCGATCATCCCAGCTTTGGTGCAAGTGAAGAAGAGAAAACGATGACAACTGTTCAGCTCAACGTCTCGCTTTCACAGACTGGTCGAAAGTTCTCATGCATCACTTGGGACGAGAAGGCTAATGATCAAGAGGTCCTCGTCACTATTCGTGGTCCTATGCTTCCACCTCTGGTTGAATCCAAGGACTCAACGAAGGAATCTTCCATCGGAGTTACCAATGAAAAATCATCTCAGTTAGATGGAAAAACAAGAGAAGGCGATCTTGCTTCGTTGACAGACAGTATGGCCTATGGGCATCCAAGTTTTCTCTTCCAAAAGCAATACACTTTGTTAGAAATGATTGGAGCTGTGATTGGAACATTCTTAGTAACTCTAGTCGTCCTTCTGGTTGGATCAAGATGCATGATGCTGCTAAAGCATAGGGCGATTTCTAACCATCCCTCTAAGGAGATTGGCGGGAGGCCTACAACTTACGATGCTCCTGTTTCAAAGCAATCCGATGCCCTGGTTGGTGTGGGGAACATCACCTCGCGGACGACCGGAAGCAGCAGTAATGGTGGCCTTCAGTCAATGGGATGTGACGGAATAGCCGCCGCTTACCCATTGTACAATCATTACCTCGCCTCAGCCTCCGGTGTTACCTACCCCACTCATATACCCCCCACTGCCTCTCTCATAACAAGTCCCACTTCTGCCCAGCTCATGCCTATCTCTGCCGCAACACCTTTGCTTCAGCCAAGCATGACAGTTCCTGGACTGCAGAGTATGCAGCCGATATCTCAGTGGCCCGCGCCTCCAGGGTCAGCTTATTCTGGAGCCGGTAGTCATGAATATGACATCCCTAGAGCTTTGGAATTATCCCAGGTGGCTTCGGATCAAGCCACTCTGCAAAGGGAACACCAGCAACCACAGCAGCAACAACAGCAGTTGCAGACAATACCCCAGCAGCAACAGCAGCACTCGAAAATGAACCTCACCACCGATACATTTGGTGGCGATAGCGCCGATTAATGGGCCCTCCAGCGCTGGAAGTGTGTTCACCGAGTCTTTCCGAATTTCGCCATTTGTGTTCTCCCCTGCCTCTCTGCTTCTTGCCTCCCTGAAGACAGACGTAAAGCTTCAATCCCTCTCCCCCTCTTCCCTCCTATAGTAGTAGTGTGACATTGCTGTGTACAGTTTTATTTTCCTGTCTGCCAATCCCTCCTTCCTATTTATTCACAAAATATTCTATGCAACCTAATGAATCGCCACTGTAAGGTGCCTCAGCTTCTCTGTCCTCCTTCCCCATTCTCCCATTTTCCTTCCACATACAAGTGCGCGTCAATCGGCCTCTTCCTCACTCATTCACGCTATTCTAGGATATTTATACCTATGCAATAAGTATAAATTTATGCAAGAGGCACTAACACCGTGTGCTTGTGGAAGTGTGTGTGCGTTTAACGCCATCACCATCACCAACGCAAACACGCACATGAATATGGCTGAAGTCTCTCGCTCATTTTTCTTATGTCAGCTTTGCATTGGGAAGTATATCCTGCGTTACTTTTATCACCTCCAAGTCTCCTCTCTGTGTGCATGTGTGAACGTACATGTACACCTAGGAAAAGAGGAGGGAAGAGAACATACGGAAGCACGTTTTTGAAAGAAAGTAGCTTTCTTGTAATGCGTGCATGTCAGGTCGACAAAGCGTGCTCTTGCAAAGGAAGGCTGGCGGCTTGTGGTAAGAAAGCGTTAGTGTTCACAATGACTGCCTAAGTATACTTATTGACGCCTGGATTATTGTCTGCTCAAAATATTTGCCAATTTTGTGTTAGTGAGCTGGATAGGATCGTTCCGACGTCTCGCGTGATAAATCAGATAAGCAGGAGGATGATTCAACGACTGAACAAAGGTCGCTCATAAAATTGCCTTTTTACCCGTCGTGAATTGAAGTCTGTTTATCTTATGCAGTCGATGCGTATCGCCATCTGCACGAACTTCAAACTCTGCTTATCTTGAATGGAAAAGCCAAGGCATATTTATACTTGATCAGCGAAACCCAAGCTGCTAAGCGTTAGTGCCTTAACTGGGCACTCAGGATTAAATTAAATGGGGCAATCTCAGCAATGGAAGTTATGCATTTCCACTGTTTCGGTTAATTGCATACTTCACACAAAAAATACTTGTCACTCGACCAAATATTGTTCCGGATGAAGAGTGTTATTAGAGCGTTAAAATAAGAGGAGCAACATTAATTTGGTTGGAAGTGAAGTGGATAGATGGCGTAAGTAAAAGCCTAGATGTATTTGGGCTTAAATCTCCGAGTTATTACTATCACTTCAGTGTAGAGGATTCTTGCAACTGACTTTTTATTCCAAAGGTTAATGAAGTTTTTATTACTGTACGTGAAAATTATTGGAATCCAAACACAAATGGCCTATATTTGTGTTTTTAAGTAGCAAAGTGGTGAGTGCGCCATACATTCTAGAAAAGTTTCTGTTTCATAAAACCGGTAACAATTTTGTAACACTTCTCGTTAATGAGAGCCAATGGGTTGTGGAACGGGTCCCTAATCGATTCGTACGAACATTAAAACTCCAGACGATTTGGCTGACTCGGACAAATTATCACTGCTAAAGCCAAACATGAAGCGTTTGACAATATCTGACCATCAGTAATACCACTTTCTTTATGCAGCAGATGACACGATCTCGTCTCTCAATTTTAAGCACGAGATTGAGATCCCCAAATCTTCGCTTAGTTGTCCGGACAACGCGAACAAGTTGTTTTTAGCCTCTGCACTAGAATTGCCTCTGGGGTTTATAAGACGATAAATTTTCGTTAAAACTGGGATCACTGACGTTTTATGAAATCTTCATTGTCTGGCAGAAATCAGACTTTTCGACTTAAACTTAAAGCTTTGCACAAATTTTGGAAGAAGACTCGGAGTGTAGAATGGGAAGCGGCCACGAAAATAGGAAAGGTTTAAGTAAATTTGTGTCCGGTCTGACAAACAAAGAATAAAGAATTATGCCCATATTTTTTGACTTCGAGTGAAACTCATAATCTTGAGGCTAAAGTAAAACAGTCGAGGATCAGTTGCGCTTCTTTGATCCTTTAACTTGGGTAACCTTTCGTTTATGCAACTTTTCTATGCGGATAAAGACAGAATCGTCTTCATTTTGCCTTGAAAGTTGTAGTGGGGCATTGTAATCTCAAAGACAGCCCTGCAATATGAGCTGTAACTGTCTGGCAATGAAGTAAAGATTATTTCCGCGCTATGGAAGTTCAATTTTTTAAGAATACGCTTAATGTATGTAAGAGCTGTCTGCCTACTTCCCTGCCTTTGAATCTCAGACTTCAAGAGAAGGTTGGTTGCAGATGATTTATTAGGCATCTGCTACAGGAAGAATGAGGATTGGGATGCAGATGGGCCGAATAGGTGATATCAACTGCAGAGACACTCCTCACCACCTTCGCACCCGTGATTTGCGTTCTCAACTGGTTCCCACTTCTCTCCTACAAAAGCCCACTTAAACAAACTAGCGGATATTACAATGTAAATCATTATCAGCCGTAAGACATTCGTTTAAGCAAATGACATTTGAAGAAATTGACTTTATAATTTAAGAATTTATTGTTACGCGAATCCCAAGAGTAATATTTGTGTAGCCTCTTAGTAAAGGCGATTTTCTTGCAGACGCATGCGTTTAAAATGAACCGCGTTATTAAGGATTTACCAAATGGAGAGGAGGTTAAGTCCAAATCGTTGATTTAGTCGACGGTCTGTTTAAGGAATCCATTATTAACATTGGCACCGACAAAATATGCTTACTCTTCGCTTGCATTTAACGCAATTTAGTTGTCTTATGGCAATCACAGCCTAAAACGTATGCTTGAGAGGAGTGAAAGCTTGATATTCAAAGAAAGTTTCGAGATTGCAAAACTCGGATAAAGAGACGTCTCCATGCGTTTGACTATTATCTGGCTCCACTGAGCTATGAAATAACGACGGTCGTTTAATCACAGCGTTCCATGGGCGCAAAACTTAGGCATTAATCATGATTTACAAAATTGTTGATTGCCTCATTAGACGCATTAGTCCCTCTCTCCCTCTGTGCGTATGTGCTCGGCAAGTGAAACTCGAGTCTAATCCCTCCACTTTAAAGTTTCAACATTCGCGTTTGATAGTGGAAAAGTTATCCCTTTTCCCTCAAGACCAATCAAGGTACCGACGTTTAAATGTTCTTTGCATTGTGTGCGTCAAAATTATTCAGTCCACCTTTATAAGGCACTCTTTTTTGTGCATATGATGCATAACAATTTAACAGAAAGTTGCGCAAAAGTCTCTAAGGCGAAGTGCGATTACATCTCTTGTCCACTACTTGCCAAAACTTTGAACTAGCCATTCATCGAACAGGACATAAATCATGGAGGAGGTAGTGAGCTAAATTAACTGCCTCAAGGTAAGTTAAAAGGGCTTCGTCACTCAGTAAAATAGTCACTTTTTTCTGACAAACAAACATTTTCTTTTGTATCTTAGCTTGTGTAACTAAAAACCTCACAAGTAGATGCAAAAATACACTCCCACCAGTTTAGAGTGAGGAATAAACTGAGTACGACTGATTGAAATTCTGGGGCTCGTTAAGAAACCAAGTACAGCATGCATACTTGCGTAATAATGGCTTTGAAACTAACATTCGCACGCAGCCAGACATCGGCGCAAGGGATTGACATTTAAACGCTCCTCGTTTTCGTCCATCGCCTAGGAGAGATACAAGATATGCATAAGTACGTAGGTAAACCCAAATGGTCATAAATCTGAAGAATGGATGTTCTCAGACTAAAGTACGCCTGTTTTAGGGTAAACAACCAATATCGGTTACTATCACACCAAGGCTTGACAAACCTTCAAATTCTTTAGGAGTTTGGTAGATGTTAGCGCAGTTATAAAGTGGAAATGGAAAGTAAGCACACATTTCCCCTTACTTGTTAAGATGAGGAAAAATGTTTTCTTATTTTAAATCTGATCAACTGGAGGATGCTCTAATCTTTTAAAGGTTTGAAAAACGGTTCAAACCGTTAATCATTGTGAAGCGTCACTATTAAAGTTGCAGCTCACAATGTGTTTGGCTTAATTTGTCTTTGCCAAATTGAATAAAGGTTAAAAGTTTTATTGCAGAAAAAGTCTCCTCTCATTTAAACGTCACTTCCGGTTAGGTCTCACTCGTGCTTTGTTAATGACAAATAAAATACGTTTCGACAAACAAAATTCTTCAGTTTGCACAGTCGAAAAGACTAGTGGAAGGAATTAATTTGGTGTGGAGAGTGGAAATCTTTCAGTGACAGCCTATCCCACACAACAATGGGAAAGATTTCAGCAGAGGACATATTTTTTCATTAAATTCCTTTATTCGTACTTTACGATTCCTGTGTGCAAAGACCACGATGGCGGCCGATAAAGTGTAGGATAGAGGTAGAGAGCAGATGATAAAACGATTTCACCGCAACAGACGATGCAGAAGGGCTTGGCCTTTTCCTCACTTTTCTCAGCATTCACCTAGAGCCATTGCTTCGCTGACCATATGCCCCGATACCGAGGCTGCCGAGTAAGGACAGCTGTGCATACGCGGTACTAAAATGGAGAAATTTTTTTTCTTCAGGACTTCTAGCCGAGTCCAAAGGCACGTTGCCGGGGGCATCAGTACCGTGCCGAAACAACTGTCATTCGGATTTCTTGGTACGATGACAGGAGAAGTGTCAAAATTGCAGTTGCAAAAATCTGAAAGACGAGTGATTCTACTTCCATTACGATAATGCAACGAACAAAGCACAAATTCTTGCTGCTTAAAAATTCCGCAAATTGTATAGTTGGAATCCGTTTGCATATTGCAAGTTAATTCCCAACTGGAGTTTGAGACAGCAAATAACAAGTTAAAAAGATGAATCGAGCAAGGTTAAGTGCACTTCCCTTCACAATATGAACAGACGTTTACAAAAATAACGTTAGCCTCGAAATGATGTTTCATCTT